ATATATAGTATATATACATATAGATATATATATATATATACAGTATATATACATATAGATATATATATGGTAGATATATATGGTTGTGTATATATAGTATACATATATGGTGTGTGTGTGAATATATATATATATATATATCTTCTTTATGCATACACACACACACACACATATATATATATACATTTTATTTATCCATTTATTTATTGGTAGGCACATGGGCTTCCATATCTTGGCTATTGTAAATAATTTTGCAATGGCATAGAGGTGAATATATCTTTTCAAATTAGTGTTTTTGGCTTTTTTGGATAAATACCCATTTGGGGTACCATTGGATCATACGGTATTTCTATATTTATTATTTTGAGGACTCTCCATACTGCTTTCCACAGTGGCTGTACCAACTTATATTCCCACTAAGAGTGCACGAAGCTTCATTTCTCTCTAAATCCTCACCAGCACTTGTTTTTCTTGTCTGTTTAATTCTAGCCATTCTGACAGGTGTAAGGTGATATCTCACTGTGGTTTTGATTTGCACTTTCCTGATGATTAGTGGTGTTCATCTTTTCATGTGTCTGTTGGCCATATGTATGTCTTCCAAGTTTATTCTTGTGGATGCTGAGAAGAGGTGTTAGTCTTTCACTACAATAGGCTTCTCCATAGGGACACTCACAACATGGTTTCCTCCAGAGTGAGTGACCCAAGAGCAGAGACAGCACGAGAGAACAACCAAAACAGAGCTTGTGCTTTTATAGCCATCACTTTTAGAAATGACGTACCTTTTCCAACTGTTACTGTTCACATAGGTCAACGTGGGAGGTGACTACCCAAGGATGGGAATATCAAAGCATGGGAATTTTGAGGGCCAATTTAATGGCTAATTGCTACCCTATTCCAGTTGTTCTATATATGTGTTTGATCTGCAGACACATAGTTCTATGCGTACAATACTGTGATAACAAAATAAAGAATTGAGGTGTAATTAACTACTGGTATCCATGGTAGAGAGTGTGCTTAGTGGGAAGCTTCACCATTACATGCATGCTGTGTCAATAGTCACAAAAGGTGTGATGGGATTAATGTAAATCCATCTTATCCTAGTAGAAGTCCCAGAATGTATCTTCTAATGGTAAATTAACTGTGCTCTGTATATGAGGCAAATTTAAACCTAAGCACATATTTTTAATGTATTTGGGAGGCCAGATAATGTAAACATAAGTTATTAACCAGTAAAAATCCATTCTAGTTTCATGTGTGTATACTTGCAGTATAACATCAGGCAAATCACTTAACCTCTCTGAGCTGATTATATCAACTAAAAAATGAGAATATTGTATTAAGTGATTTCTAAAAAGATGCTACTTGTAAAAATGTGTATTTGATGACATTCTAAATATAGGAAATTCCCAATAAGATTCATTTAGAGGATGGTTATCTTTATGACAGCATTTCTACAGTATGATCAATGCATCATAAATGGGCCCATTTATGTCTAACTGAATCAGGGCTAAGATAAAACATCTTTAATAGAACAAGGATATGGCAGTGTTTACTTATAACAAACTGCCATGTGTTGGGCCTCTGGATAAACAAGGCTGGTGTTAGAGGATACTAGATAAACACTGAAGATTCCTTCTGTAACGGCAAAAGGGGAGTGCCCCTAAATTATAGTTTTCATAGGTTATATATGTAAAGTGGTTGTGTCTATCCCCACAGTTCTATGCATATACATTTTTAAGACCTTTATTGAGGCATGCTATAAAAGTCACCTACTTTAAGTGTATAATATAATATTTTTTAGTGAAGTACAGAGTTGTGCACTCATCACCACCATCTAATTTTCATCATCCCAAAAAAGATCCTTTATATCCATTTGTAGTCAATTGTTCTTCTAACTCCCATTCCCAAGCAACAGCTAAATCTACTTTTTGTCTCTATAAATTTGCCTTTTCTGGATTTCATACAAATGAAATCATACAATATGGAGTCTTTCATATCTGGTCCTTTCATACAGCAAAAGTGTTTGAGATGCACCCAATTTGTAGCAGATATCAGCAGTTTGTTCTTTTACTTTTCAACAATATTCCTTTGTATGAACATACCACATTTTCTTTATGTCTTCACCCATTGATGGATGTTTGGGTTCCTTCCCATTTGGAGCTCTTATGAATAATGCTGCTATGAATATTTTGTGTTAAAGCTTTGTGGAGATATGGTTCACTCCTCTTGGGTGTATACCTAGTAGTGGGATCAGTGGGTCATATGGGTTAAACTCTATAATTAATTTTTCAAAACACTGCCAAACTATTTTCCACATCGGCCACACCACTTTACATTCCCCTCAGCAATATATGCAGGCTTACATTTCTCCGCAGCCTCACCAACTTCTGTTATTATTTGTCTTTTTGGTTATATCAATATGCATTGATGGGCTGTGAGCAAAATTCAAACTGGAGAGTCTCTTCCTGTCAGGGAGACCCCAGTCCAGAAGGTCTTATGCCTAACTAACCATGAAATTTTGGGTCAGTGGCCAATGAAACAATTGTTCTGTAGATTAAATTCTTCCTGATTGTACTAAGAAGCAATCCCTACGTAGATGCATATATGGCTGTATGTTATTCTTTTCCCCAAAAAAAGTTTATAAAAAATTCACCTTCCAAAATCAAATAGTTGATTTTATCACACAAACTCACTTTGTAGGTAATAATTAGACCTCAGAAATAAAAATAATTCATTCTAGAAAATGGTCAAAAATTTTTAAATTAATCTAATATTTTACTACTTAAAAAGTAAGTGTAGACAAGTAAAATTCATGTATTTTATTTAGGGAAAAAATCTGTATTATTTTCTTTTATAGTTGGTTTAAAGGATCTCTAAGGCTTTGTACAAATGTAAATATAAAAATAAAACACAATGTGCACTGTAATTCTTAGAAGCTATATTTTTTTCACCAAGCATAGTAATTTTACTCAGCAAATTTTACTCAGTAAAAAATATGCTGAATGAATCTTTCCTAAGAATAAATATCTATTTAGGGGACTAAAACAATACAAAATAATGACTTAGTGTTAAAATAACATTTTGTCAATTTTATTAAAAGCAGATTCCATTTCTGAACATAGTTAATTAAGTTTCCTTAAAGAAAAAAGAAGCCTACTTTATGGTATTATTTCATCAGAGTAAGTTGGCTCATTGAGACTATCACTGATAAAGACATGTACAAAAGTTAGCACCACCTGTCTATAAACGCAGATAGTCACAGCCATTCCAATATATATAATCTCCCTTTACTTATACACACATATATTTACAGCTAATAAATAACATTTAAAGCCAAAGCATTGTTAATATACACATATAGTGAAGTCTGCAAAAGTCAGAGTTCCTAGGCCCATACACTGATTTGATCCATATTTTTTCAAGTTTATGTATCCTTGTTCAAAACCCAAATCCAGGAAATTAATGAATTAGCAATAAAGGGGGAAGACAACAACAAATCTCCAACATTTTATTTTTAGAGAAAATTCATTCCAAGTTGGCTGACATTAATCACAGTGTTTGTATTACTTTATATAGGCATAACTATATTTCTCAAAAGAAAGGCTGAAGTTTTGGCATCTCTGGAATAATTTCTACTCCGATATGTCCCAATACTATATCTCTTGATTTTTTACTTTCCAAGCTATGCTGAATAATAAACACATATGCAGGGCTTCATATGTGAATATATGTTAAGATATCCACACATGTTTACAGTTTGGATTCCCAGCAAGAGCCTTTGAGATATTTTACTTCTTTATCAATTCATATTAATATAGAGAAAATCATTCTGAAAGTATGATACCTAATTTATAAATAACTGTTCACTCACTATTGACTAGTTGTTAAAAACAATAACTCTCATGGCATTTCATGTAACTATGGCGATTGAGGATTCTTTTAATTGCCCACAATGGTTTTAACCACTGTTTATGGAAATACACTTTTTCATCTCCTAACTTAGTAAAATGGTCCTTGTCTAAAACTTGCATGATTCAAAATTTGATCTTGAACACATATTTTCTTATCAAAACCAGGGAAGAAAGAGACATCCTCAAAGTATGACTAAAGCATGACTGAGATAAACCTAAAATTTAATAGGGCTTATAAGATATTAAATGACCCCAAACTGATGAAAACACTTTCAGAAATCTGATAATGAAATTGTGGTATCATTTTCTTTCCCCATGTTTAAAATTATGTGTGAGCTGGCAATAGCAGGCTCATAGAAGATGCTGTTAAAATACAATCTTGAGACAAAGGAGGGGGAGAGATTAAACTATAAAGCCTATTAAGACTGAATTGATCTAAATTTTATATTTCTTTTAATTAGTAACTTAGAAATGATGCAACCAACTGCAGGGATGTTTTAAAGTTTCAGTGATTTATCAACTTCATCTTCTATTCCTCTCTCCAAGTCACTAGTCCCTGGTTAAATCCTGGAAAACACAGAAACAAAAAAAAAAACAAAAAACAAAAAAAAAAAACATATTTTGCACTAATGGGTGCAACTCATGCCACCAAAAAAAAATCATTTTCTATATTCAGACTTGGAGAAAACTTTGAGAAGGTATCAGTCCAGAAAATGCAGAATTTCAAATAAAATATGAAATTCTACTCAACTTTAGGCTATTGACTAAACTTACTATATAAAGAAGGTTTATTATTTTACCATGGGCCCAAATGGCTCTCAATTCTTTCTCAAAGGACAAAACAGTGATTTTCAAATCTGCTATCTTTTGATGTTGGAGGATGTGCTATTTGGCCACTATACCCTTCAAATTGAATTAGTCACTTTTTTTTTTTTTTTTTTTTTTTTTTTTTTTTTTTTTTGTATTTGAGATTATATCCTAAAATAACAAAGCAGAGCTGGGATTAATACTCAGGGAACTTGTCTTTGAAACATCCAAAGCACTGGGCATCTGATGTAAAAGTTACTCCATTCTTCATGGAATTCGTGTTCTGTTCTTCCTTCTGTAGATTTGCCCAGTTTCTGAGAAAAAGCAGAAGAGGAGGAGCAATTTATTACCTTTTTAGTGTTCTACAATCATCCCTCCTCCCACCTTCATGATATAAAAGCATTCAACTGGAAGCTCAGTACAAAGGTTGTGAATATATACCCAGGAAGATGTGGACGATGGATCACATGTGGATAATGGCAGGTTTGTAGGAATGAAAGACACTCTAATACCTACTTAGCTATATCCCAATAAGGACTATCATTTTCAGAGGACTGAACCAAATGATTTCAAACAAGATATGATTTAAGATTTCTTAATTCTAAAACTTGCCAAATGAAATGGCTGATTATTTTCTTTTCCTGAGGAATGAAACTTCTGAAGAGTTTTATCAGAAGAAAAGAGACAGAGAAATTTTGATTGATATAGTCACAGAAGAGAAAAACTGCAGAATGTTACAAGCCTTGTTCATAATTACTTCCGCATAAAGTTCAGATGTATAAAAACAGCTGCCTAAATATCTGTGGTCTCAGTAATCTTATTATCAGATAAGGAATGTACCCTTAGATTTTCTCAGATATATTATTGTGACTTATATAAATAGTATGACCAGAAATACTTTTAAAATAGCTGGAGATATTTCCTAATCTTTCAGGTTTTGCTTTTACATTTACACAGAGATTTAAAGTTGTATTTGATTTGGGGAGAACATATAAGTATATGTGATTTTGTGTATGTTTGTATGTGACATAAATGCATGTTTAAAGCTTCATATAGTATTCCTTTTCTAAAAGTTAAAGTAAATGTGAAATTGTCTCAGATTTTTGATGAGGGAAAACAAAGCAATGAGCCTCTGAGTAGAACAGTCTCCACTTAGGTAAATATTCAGTTATTCTGCCTGGCTGAATACCATTAACTAACTACTCTATTTCAAATTTATCTTGAGTGCTCTTACGTTAATGTTTTTCATAAAGTGGCTTCATCTTATCATTCAAAGTATGTCATAATTCTATTTTTGTAAAATATGAAAAAAATATATAAATATTATATATACATAGAGAAGGTCTAAAACAATATACATTTAATGTTAATTGGGAGTTGTCCCTGGAGGAGAGAGTCAGAGTGATTGTATTTTCTTTTTGCCTATTTTTTCCTAATCTATATATAATCCATAATTACCCATGGATAAATTACATCATAAAATAGAAATTTACAATAATAGAGATATTCCCTATAGGGTTTTTAATATGATTTTCTGATTAGGAAATTCTTATTCTGTACTTTTGTCTATAAATGTAACTGAGAGAAGACAAATCAGAAGTAAGTGTTTTTCCTACATCAGGATTATGTTGTGCCTAGCCTTTCCCCTCTTTTCTTGTGCCACTGGTTTGTATGACATGATCAAAGTTTTCCTCCCCTTTTACTTTAACCCATTAGTACTCAGAATCTGGCAGGAGAATGAGCAGAGAAATGTGAGAATTCAGGAGGGGCTGGGAAAGGTCACATGTGAATCTCCACTTAATATTACACTCTAGAAAGATTTGGCTGACAACTGTCATGTGGATTAGTCTTAAAGATCATGTAGGTAAGGGCCAGGGGATTGTTTTGAGATAGAAAAGAGAGCCGTCTCCTGAATTCTAACTCCATTAGCTCCCCATCTTCGGTGATTTTGAGATGGGTACTTGATGGCTGCCCTTTTGGCTCTCTGTCCTAGAGTCTGCTGCCACTTGGAGCATCAAGAAGGACTATGTGAGGGCACCTGGGTGGCTCAGTTGACTAAGCATCTGATTCTTGATTTCGGCTCAGGTCATGATCTCAGGGTTTATGAGTTCAAGCCCCACATGGGGCTCCATGCTAACAGCATATGGAGCTCTGTGTTGTCAGCACAGAGATTCTCTCTCTCCCTCTGTCTCTGACCCTACCCCACTTTTTCTTGCATGTGCATGCATGCACATACTCTCTCTCTCTCTCTCTCTCAAAATAAAAATAAATAAACTTAAAAAAAAGAAGGACTATGTATTGCAGCTGATGTTTGCTCCCCTGGGTACATCTGGGGAGGGGCTACACCCTCAGCCATGATTATAACTATTGTGTCATATGCTCTGTATACGGGATCCATAAAGTTAGCAGAGATACAATACAGAAAATGCAGCAGTGAAGATTTTGTGGCAGCCCAAAAAGTAAAATAAAAGAACAGAAAGAGGAAGAAAAAAGAGGAAGTATTGAGAAAAGTAAATGGGTAAGTCTGATGTGTAAATATGGAAGGGCTAAGAAAGACCACCTGAAGATTCTAACAAGAATCGGTGCAAGTCTTTAGTCATAAGATGAAGAGCAATATATGAAGCAGTGTCCCTCAGAGGGCAAGCTCAGGATGTCCAGAGAGCTTTAGTCCATAATGCTCACCAGCCAGACTTTTTATTCAGGGACTTGTCATGGCATTTCACAAATACCACAGATGCCTTTCCTTTCTGCAGATGAGATACTTTCTCCCTGGAACAGAAGATTACCCTGTAGAATAAAATGGATGTAAACATATAAGAGAAAATAGAAACAACTGTTCACAAATATATGGTTTGGTCAAGGATCTTTAAATCCTACATGATCAGTCTGATTAATTGTTTTGATATTTCTAATAGCTCACTGTTTAAAGTTAAGTCATTCTGGTCAGCAATACATCTGAATCATAGGGTTATTTGAGGGCCTAATCACAGTTCAGCAATAAAGGTAGTCAATCTGGACAGCTTGGAGCAACCTTAAAATCACAAGGCTTTCACCATGAGATAATACAAGATCCACTTTACCACTTCTTTGTATCTACATTAAGGAATTCACAAATCATCCTTCAACTGGCCCTGTTAGAGAAACAAATGCTCTGCAGAGCCTCTCCATCCACAACCTCCTTTTTGTTTGTTTTGTTTTGTTTGTTATAAAAGAAAATGACCAGAGGGAAATAATTTATCAATCCTAATTTAAAGAGTCATTTTTATATGAAATTTATTGTCAAATTGGTTACAACACCCAGTGCTCATCCCAACAGGTGCCCTACTCAATGCCCATCACCCACTTTCCCCTCTTTCCCACCCCCCCCATCAACCCTCAGTTTATTCTCAGTTGTTTTTTTTTTAATTTTTTTTTTCAACGTTTATTTATTTTTGGGACAGAGAGAGACAGAGCATGAACGGGGGAGGGGCAGAGAGAGAGGGAGACACAGAATCGGAAACAGGCTCCAGGCTCTGAGCCGTCAGCCCAGAGCCCGACGCGGGGCTCAAACTCCCGGACCGCGAGATCGTGACCTGGCTGAAGTCGGACGCTCAACCGACTGCGCCACCCAGGCGCCCCTATTCTCAGTTTTTAAGAGTCTCTTATGCTTTGGCTCCCTCCCTCGCTAACTTTTTTTTTTCTTCCCCTCCCCCATGGTTTCTGTTAAGTTTCTCAGGATCCACATAAGAGTGAAAACATATGGTATCTGTCTTTCTCTGTATGACTTATTTCACTAAGAGTCATTTTTATTACCAATAATGGAACACTATAGTTTGCAAAAATCCCTATAAATTTAGTGTACAAGTTTTCAAATCCCTGGGGCTCTGTATTCAATTTCTTTATAGATATATGGGAGGTGGGGTTGGGGAGATGGATGAAGATACCTTGGAATCTCATTCTTCTTGAAGATGTTGGTTTTAATCTTTGAATGTCAAAGTGACATCTCTAAGGTTCTTTCCACAACTGTTTTGTACTTGCAAGAAACAGTGCTAAAATAGGGGCATTTGTACCCCAATGTTTATAGCAGCACTCTCAATAATAG